ACTTTGTAGGGTCTATTATCAATATTTCGAGGAGTTAAAAACGGAATGACAAAGTTAATATACCCTCCATAGAATGGTGGAGGGTATAAAAATACAAAATCAATGTCTTCGGAAAAAAAAAACAGTCCTGGAGAAAATTTTCTTAAAAAGTAAAAAAATATATATATTTATAGCAATACTATAAAAAACATTGTTTATTATTATTAAGTATTCGTAAAATATAACGATAACATCCTTGGCAGTCTCAAAATAACAATTTTTCAAAATGCATGATATTTTGAAATTGTTAAAAAAAATATTGCAAAAGTGCTTTAAGCGGTTTAGATTATATGTTTTTATGGTGTCCCCTAAAAGTATACTGTATTTTTTTGTTCATATATGGCATGCATAGTATTTGTTGTAAAGTTTTTACCAATGCCCTCCTTTCAAAACAGACCTCGTAATTTACATTTTATTCGCATAAATATATTCTTTAACCAGACTAAAAAAATTGAAAATTCGATAGAAAATTGTATATTATTGTACAATCTATGATCGAATCATATTTTTACTGTGATCTCGCCTAAAATTGGGCAATATTTTTGAAATCCCTTTTAAAAAGTATTCGCTTTAAGGTTTTCTTTAAAAGGAAAGACCTATTTATAGTTGTAATCTATGTAAATGGACATTTCTAAAGATTTTCTAACCACATTTCCTATCTATGCACTTTAGACCTTTCAAACGGTTCTCGAAAAATAATTAAATTTTATATTAACTGGATAAGATATTTTCCGGTAGCTTACCTAAAAGTCGGCTGTAGTTGTAGAAATATTTAAGAACGATTCTAACTGGCCTCGTTTAACTTTAGGAAGATATTTCATGAATGAAATGCTTCTGCAATGGGAAAATTGTATTTAGCTCTAAAAGTATTTATCCACCTGTCTATGATTCCTCAACAACATGAACAAAATTGGAATAGTGATTCTGCATAATTCATCTCGCCATTCTCCAGAGTTCTTGTGTGGAAATACGACCTTAGTGATCATAAATCAGTCTCGATGCTGAACTTGGAACACTGTGCCCCATCCATCTCCTATTCCCAACTGCAATTGTAATTTTTTCCCTGTCCAATAGAATGGAAGTGGGTATTGACGTTTTAGTAATGCCATGCAAGTTTCCGACTTGTTACGGTTTCTACCATCTATTTTCTTTCTATTTCATGACTTGTATTTTGTTTGTTTTAAATTTGCAATTCAGTTTATTCGATTGTAAATATTCTGGCAATTTGTTTCTAGAGATTTTCCTTAGATGTCTGCTTGGCTACCTGGCCGACTTGCTTAACTCTTTTTTGCAAATGTACTGCAATCGAAGTTATGCCCAAAACAAAAATTCCCTTGATAAGAATGAAGTTGGTAGTCGGTTTGTTGGTAGAACTGAGTGCAACGGCACCATTGATAGCATCGAATGGCCACAATTTGCACTTTAAGCCATTGGCCATGGTGCTTGGGGGCCAATTTGTGTTCGATATTCTCAACACAAAAGCAACAGCAACATGTTTTCATCATATAAAGGTCTATGCTATGTCCACTTCTCCTCCCCCCGCAACTCCCACCTTTCTCCTACCGTTTGCTGTTGTTGCTGCATCTCGACCAGTAAAATATATAGTTCTTAACATGTTCGTATTCTGACATTCTTCTCCCGAAAACTTTTAGCAATTTTTACGACTATGGCATGTTAAGTTTATATCTAGGATACAATTTATGTTTAATCTATACTCCTTCACAAGCTGCTCCTTTTGCTTTTTAAATGGATTTCTTAATGCAGAAAAGCGGTAAAATCAATAATTTAACAGTGGCCAGGTAAATGGACTTGGTTGGCTGGAAGGAATGGAGAGAGATGGTGGTGGTGAATTTTCATCATCATCGTCGTTTGCATCATGGAACTTCCGTTGTATGATGCTTCTGCCATTGCATCAATATTTTGTGCGGATGTGGTCAAGGGTTTTTTTTGCCAAGCTTCGGCTATGAAAGAAAGTTTGTGTTGTTAAAAGTAAAACAATAAAATAAAGTTGCACTGACTCTGGACTATTTAACATAAAACTGGGCCAAACAAACCGAGCCAGCCAACACACCCGTTTCACCCACCTTGCTGCAACCACGCGCAACTTATTACCAGCAATAAATTTCTGTACTGAAAAAAAAAAAAAAACGCGAAGGTGAGTCCAAGCACTTGGACTTATCCTGCCTACATCTACCACCCTCATCATTACAAATGCCGACCACAGCAGCAACAACAACAATTTTTTTAAAGCAAATAAGAAGCAAATCATAAATTCTGCACATTTTATGCAGTGAATGAATGTCAGAGAGAGAGCAATGAAGGCAAAGAACAAGAAAACCAAAACGTAATTTTCCAGAGAGGCTGAGGTTAAAACGGTTTTTGATATATATATTTTTTCTTTTTTGATTGCTGTATCCTTTACCTCCAAGTTATTTAAATAGCCTTGACAGGTTATGTGAAATTTAAGTTTAGATATTTTTTTTTTAAATAAAATTGTGTTTTTAACAACAATTGAGGAAACTGAAGGAAATTAGCTAAAGTTTCGTTATTTTAGACACTCTGAGCAATGGGTCGAACTATAATTGTATTTTATTCTCTTAAGCCTCCTCGAAGTAAAATGTTGAAACCTTGTCAGTTTTTAAACTTTTTTGTTATAAACGAATGGGTTCTATGCAGTTCTAATCATTCCTCTAGATGTTAAACATTCTACAGGGTGAGATAAAAAAAACTACAACAAAGTCAAACGCCATAATTTTTACATTTTTTAAAATTTTATTGAATGTCAAAAATAGCATCAAATTTTAGAATAAGTTTAGATTTGTTCGAATCGGTCACCATTGGCATGTATTATGGCCTTCAAACGGCTAATGAAACCGTCACACGCTACGCGAATGTTGCTCTGCGGCATTTTGGCCCATTCCCGGCGAAGTGCTTGCTTGTGGTAATCGACACTTTGGTATTTTTAGTGCCAACCTTGCTTTCCAAAATACTCCAGGATTGGTTTCCGGAGATTTTGGTGGCCATTGTGCGCTGGAAATGAAGCAAGGGACCTCATTTTATAACCATTCCATGGCGCGTGCTGAGTGCGATGGTGTTGAATCCTGTTGGAATACCCAAGGTCTGCGCCCAAAATGTTTGCGTACACCCTCTAGAATATTTTCGCGATAATATTAGGCATTTATTCTAATGCCAGAGCGACCATCGCCTGTTATGGTGGCCCACATCATCACCATGGCCGGCGCTTGAGTTCTGGTGGCCAACCGAAGCTGTAACTCTTTAGCTTTTTTGAGTCTATTTTCTTTCTGTTGCAGTATAAGTTCTTCCACTTTTTGGAATTTCAATGACTTTATCCCGAGCTCATTTTTCAATGTATTTGCCGAATGTAATATTGCGATATGTTCAACTCACGAGCCATTTTCCAGCCACTGCGCCGCGGGTTTCGATCAAGTCGCTTCTTTACTTTTCGAACCATTTTTGCTGATGTTTTCGTTTTCTTCCGTCGCTACCAGTATCATGGTAACAAGCGATGGTACGAAACACAAAATATTTATTCCCATTTAAATGCTGGAGTCCCCTAACTATAGCCACTTGTGGCTTTCCAGCCAAATATAAGGAAACGCTTGAATTCCATCACGAATAACTTTTTTCCTGGAAAATTCTCAGCAAAATGTCGGACAAGTGGCTTAGAAATTACAGCAGTTTGAAGTTGGTAGCAGTTTTTTCATCTCACCCACATATATTATAAAATTTTAATAGAAGCTCTTTTTCAAAACGTTTTGTATCACAAAAAGACAATGTTAATATACTTTTTTCAAAGGAGACATAATTTGGGCTAAATATGAAACGTTTTTATGTGAAAAATAGAAAAAAAAGTTTGAAGACTTCAAAACTAAATTAACAAATAAACTTGATCTAAAATTTCTTTGGTCATCGAAAATTTTTTTTCTATTATTGCTCCTAAAAATATGCACTAATTTTATGCAATTTTCATAGAACCTTTAAAATGTTTACTAAAAATTGTTCGAAAATGCACGTTATATTAGGTCTGAATGTCACCTTTATGATGTCTATCTATAAAAGCCTTTAATTTTTATCCATATTTCATAAAAAAAATCATTGCAGAACGTATTTGTAATTCCTTATGCATAACAACATATGTTCTTTACAATTTCGCCGAAAAATATGCACTAAATTGTTGGGATAATGAGTTTTGCCTTGTTAAGGGGAAGATCATATGTTTTATGATTTATGTGTTTATTTTCTCTTTCGAGACGAGCTTAATGATCAGGAATTTGCAGTGAAAAGGAAAGCCAGATTGATACTATCACACACTCACCAGTATTCGACGCGTTTCGCCGTTGGTTAAGCGGCTCATCAGGCATATTTGGTGTGGATGATGGCTTAAAAGGGCCGTTCTCTGGAAAGTAGTAGATCTTTTCGAAAAGATGATTTTGATAGGTTCATTCCGTTAGACGAGCCGTTCTTTATATATCATATTGAATAAATACATTTGTAAGCATCTTCTGTGGAAGTAAAAATCTTCTGAAACTTTTATATTGCTGCAAAGTAAATTTAAAAAAGGATTAATATAGAAAGTCTTTAAAGAAGTTTTATATTGAAGGAAACCCATTCATATGGCGTTGAGACGTCTTTTCTTTGTAAAAAAAGTTTTAGTTAATTGAAGAAAATTGAAACCAATAATCTTTCCATTTCTTCTCTGCAGATTAATTGATAATAAATTTAAATAGTTTTTTTTTTTTATTTATTTTTTAACATTATTCTATTTACTTCACTTTAGGATACTTCAATTTTAGTAGCTTCTTTTTAATTCTTTATGAAATTTATTTTGTTATATTAAATCACATAAATTTCATTAAATTATAACTCTTATATCAATATCAAATCTCATTTTTGACTTTTCTCTTTTTTCCATATCTGTTTTTTTTTTCTCTCAAATACAGGTGTTTATGGCGATGTGCAACGTGTAAAGATACTATATAATAAAAAGGATTCAGCTCTCATACAAATGGCCGAACCACAACAAGCTTATTTGGGTAAGTTCATATAACGAATAATTTTAAACCACCTGTGCTCCCCTTCACCCTCATCATTCCCACAAAAAACACACAAGTGTCAATTTCAATTATAACAAAAAGACAACTCTTTCAAATATTGATTACAACATTCATACACAAATGTGTGGTAATTGTTTTTTTTTTCTCCTTTTTTTTTTTTTTTGAGGAGAATTCAGCCATTATATATTCTCTTTTATAATATATGTATGTATATGCGTAAGGGAGATGATATACGTTCACATGTACATATTTTATGTGAATGTCACATTCATATATTTGTGGTTAGTAGATTAATTCATCATTTTATTCATACAGTTGACTACGGTTTGGATGCAATCAGTTCGAAATTAAAAAGAAAAACTGCAGAGATTAAGAGGAGAAAAAGCTAGAATACTTTAATTTGTCAATTATGCAACTCATATTCTAATAAAAAAAATTAAACATTTAGTTTTTTACAAGAATGAAATGTCAGCTCTGTATAATTTACATTGACAACCTGAGGTCCGGGTGCAAAATCGATTTTCATGAATTCTTCGTCCTTATCCTTCTGTAGTTTTTCTTATGGCCAAGTTACAAATTATTTTTCATTTATATAGAACCTACTGTAAATCTTTAATATGAGAAAAAAGACAACAGAGCCACCCATGGAGAGAAACCAGCAATTTGTCCTGTTATTATTGCATACATTTGCAGTTGAAATATGTTATTGTGAGTGTGTGTGAAGTGCTGTGCAATGCATGTCCATATCCTTATTGTTGATGAGTTTTTGAGGTTTAAAACTGAGATTTATTTTAAAATATTGTTGTTTCATTTTCTTTTTTTTTTTTTTTGTTTTGGCCAAGTGTATTAAATCTTCCAGGATAACAACTTTTTTCATTATCACAAGACAATCGGGCAAATTTCAAAACAAATTAAACTATCTTTCTTTTTTGAGTTGTCGATTAAAGATCTACTAAGCCACATATATTATGAATACATCACATGGTGTTATAATACTATTACGCCTAAAAGTATGCACCATTGTTTTTATTTTTTATTTTTTTTTTAAATCAGACTTTTATACTAAGATATTTTCTACATAAAATATACAGTCCTTGGTTAAGCATTTCCAAAAAAAAAAACCCAATTTTAAGCGTTGATGGTATTTAAAAAAGAACTATTTTCAGAAAAACACCATTTTAACTCTAAATTCCCTTGAAAAAAATATTCACAAGACACAGGGTGAGAAGCATTAAAAAATATCCAATAGTAAATCTGGAGGTCCTTGTAAGGATTTTTTTTAAATTCAAATTTTGTAGTCTTTCAAATAGCCTCTCTACTGTCCATTTAGGTGAATCACAAATATGGCTAAATTAAATGGTAATATTGTACCTCATTGATGTCTTGCGAAAGAAATTCTTTCTCAAACATCCAACATCTTGGCAAAATATCTTTCTTGTAATAAAGACAGCTGTAGTGCGGGCTTTAACGTGGCTTATTATGACGTATAAGACCTTTTCGCAACAACATTCCAATTGGTGCCCCCGATGCCTGAATGGAATATATTAGGAAAATGTAACATTACTTAAAATCGGGGTTCACCCTTCTATAGGTTCTATACAAAAAATTGTATTGAATCGATCCATTTTATATCACTGTAGTCAGGGTAGTATGTCTTTGTGCATTTGTTTGTAACATAGAGAAGGAAGTTAGTTAGACCCATAGTTCCTTTTGACGATCTTCATTTAATCACTTTCTGAGTTGATTTATGCATGTCAGTCTGTCCATTTTTTTTTTTTATTTTTTTAAGGAAAATGCAGTTCGCGTTTTTATCCGATTGAGATGGAATTTTCCAAAAAAATATTTGTTTGGCCCAAGGACGAACCCTATTGAAATTGGTGCGAATCGGTTCAAATTTAGAAATAGCTCTTCAACCGAGTTAATTGTGCACTAAATGGCCAATATTAGTCCAAATAAACTGAATTTTGGAACATCTGACCGAATTCAGTCTAGAAGCAAATATATCAAGATATAGCTATAGCTCCCATATATATGTTTCATCCGATTTGGGGTTTTAAGTCTCTCACATACGTAATACGCACTCCACAACAGTGATGATATTTAGTACCATATAACTTATGGAACTCAAAAATACCTCTTTCAAATCGAGATCGGATCAGATTAAAATATATAACTCCCATATATATTGCTTTATCCGATATAAGGTTTATTGAGCACCAAATGGGCACTTCCTTCGAAATTGAACTTAAAAGTAAGTGCATCAAATTTTGCTAAAAATCGGTTCAGATAAAGCTTTGGCTCCTATATACAGGCTGAGATAAAAAACTGTCGGAAAAAATCATCAAATTTTAGAATAAGTTTAGATTTGTTCGAATTGGTCCCCTTTGGCACGAATTATGGCCTTCAGACGTCCAATGAAACCGTCAAACGCTGCCCGAATATTGCTCTGCTGTATTTTTGCCCATTCCCGGCGAAGAGCTTGCTTGAGGTGATCGACACTTTGGTATTTTTTAGTGTCAACCTTGCTTTCCAAAACACTCCAGACACAATAGTCCTACGGATTGATATCCGGAGATTTGCGCAGGAAATGAAGCGAGGAACTTCATTTTGTAATCATTCTTGGGTGGCGCGTGCTGAGTGCGATGCTGAGTCCTGTTGAAATGTCCAAGGTCTGCGGCCAAAATTTTTGCGTGCCCAAGGCTTTAATACACCCTCCAGAAAATTTTCGCGAAAATATTCGGCATTTATTCTGATGCCACGGTCGATTAATACGAGCGGGGAGCGACCATCGGCTGTTATGGCGGCCCACACCATCACCATGGCCGGCGCTAGAGTTTTGGTGTCAAACCGAAGGTGCACATTTTCAGCTGACCACTTTGGCAAGTAAACACGATCATTTTGTTTGTTTATAAACTGCTGGACAAGGAGTTTTTTTCTCACCGGAGAAAACCAAATTCGGCAGTTCTCAACTTTCGGCCAAGCAAAGCAACTCTTTAGCTAGTTTGACTCTATTTTCTTTCTGTTGGGGTGTATGTTCTTGCACTTTTTGGAATTTCAATGGCAAATATTGAAAAATGAGCTTGGGGTAATCATTTTTCAATATTTGCCGAATGGAATATTGCGATATGAAATTCACTTAAAATTTTCCACAACCTAGATATTCGATTTTTTCAAAATATTTGTTTTAAAAATAACTTTCAAAACGCATCATATTTTTTAAAAGTCCGTCGAATCTTTGATTTCGAAAATATTTTCTTGACAATATGTATGGAAATACTGAATTCCAAAATTTATCACCACTTCACTTGAATATTTATGAAGCTTTCAGGTTTACACCAATAAATAACCCAAAGTGTAAATGTGTGACAAAAGTCGCAATGCCGCGAATACAGCTAACACAGACTCCGTGCTCGTTCTCTCTCCAATTCACTTAAAATGTTTGGTGACTGCATTTGGTGTTGGTGTTGGTGTAGCAGCATTCTAAACTAAAACTATAGTTAAACTATCCTTCAACACCACGTGTGGTAATGGAATAACATGTGTTGTCACAATTGTTGCTGTTATTTATTCTGGCACAGAAAGGAGCCAGCAAGCCACCATGTATGCAGAATGTAATCCACCAATGCTGCATCCAGCTGTGGATCTGTGTGAATGCGTTTTGGTAAAGGATGCCCATTTTGGGGTAGAAGTGTTGTCGTCGTCGTTGATGACATGTGGCTTTAATACATTTGTTAAATATATATCACCACGAATTGTTTGTTTGCTGTGTGTTGTTCCATCATCAACTTCACACTGTCAACTGTTGTTCGTTCGTTGTTGTGGTTGCATATCATTGCGGTGACGGTGATGGTTCATGGTGTGAGCCAAAAGTAAATAAAACCTAAATGATGATGTTGTTGATGATGATATCATGTTGTTAGAATATTGGATTTCCTTCTTCACGGGATTCTAATATTGTTTTTAGATATTATGTAGTTAAAACAATTGTTAGAGGCTGTACTAATCTAATCTACTTATTTGGGTGACGCAGGAACGAAGGAAATTCCTTTTTATACCCTCCACCTTGAAAAGGAGGGTATATTAACTTTTTCATTCCGTTTGTAACATCCCCAAATATTCGTCGTAGACCCCATAAAGTATATATATATATATATATATATTGATAATCAGCATAAAATTCTATGTCGATTTAACAATGTCCGTCTGTCTGTATTCCTGTTGAAGTCACGATACAGCCCAAGTTATTTGACATAGAGCATCAAAATTTAGCAGAACGATTTGTATTGTGTCTAAGACGGTTGGTATTGAAAATAAAATATATCGATCCACGTTTTGGTATAGTCCCCATATAACGGTACCTCGCGAAATTCGGTATTTTGATGAGTTTTGCCACATTTTTTCACGGATTTGTCTGAAAATTGGTATTTGTAGGTCATAGTGGGTCCTAGTTCATGTGGCGAAATATTGTACGTATAGGTCCACACCTTGATGTATTCCCCCTATAACGGTACCTCCCGATATTCGGTATTTTGATGATTTTTGCCACTACATAATTGGTTCTAGCTCCGGTGGCGAAATATTGTATGTATAGGTACAAGTTTTTGTATAGCCCCATATAGCGGTACCTCCCGACATTCAGTATTTTGATGAATTTTGCCAAATTTTCCCAAGAATATGTCTAAAAATTGGTATTTGTAGGTCAAATGTTTCATTTACCTTATGGTGGAGAGTATTCAAAGTTCGGCCCGGCCGAAATTAATGTTTTTTATTTTTTTATTATTATTATTATTATTATTTTTTTTTTTTTTTTGAAAGTTAGAAATTGATTTATTGCCATTTTCCTGACCACAAAATGAACTGTTTGTTCACTTACAAAGCTCGTTGTGGTCTCTTTCTTTTTCATTTCCCTGCAATTGAAACAGCCTTTATAAAGCAAAACGAACCCAAGGGTCATTCAAATATTTCATTTTCCACAAACACCAGACAATATCACATATTATCAAAACCTATTTCATATATTCAACAATTTCAAAGCGATTAGAAATAGAAATACTTTTCTCCAAATAGAAATACTTTTCGACCCTCTTCGGAATATTATTGAAATTGAAATACTTTTGAGATTTGAAACATATTGACCTTAGTTGCCACAAAAATAAGGATTTTAAACACTGCCATTGAGAGACAGAGAGAGAGAGAGAGATAGAGGGATATTCTGAACAGTATCTGTCCTTTTGTGCTTGACATGTGATAATTTTTGTACCAAACACACGATAATTTCATTATATATCCTGCAAATGAAAATATTTACCATAGTCTTTAGCCTCTGTTTGTTTGTGTGAAAAATATTATGGTATTATTCTTACTTGTTGGTGTGGCTGTCTGTATATGTATGTGTATTGATGTCCTCCCAGACTTCATTAAATATTATTGCAAATATTTTTGTAAAATAATTTCTAGGTAAAATAATAATATTTTTGTTCTTCTTATGTTGCAATGTTTTGAAACCTAAATCCCAAATCCTTAATAACAGACAGCATTTATGAGAACTTGTGTGGCAATTTGTTGTTCAGTCTGGCAGGGACAGTGGGATTGTGAGATGCACTTTTTAATTTATTTTAAAATTTCAGTTTTTAAATATTTTTTAAGAACAATATTTCAAATATTTTTCAGACTTAACATCAAAGAAAAGTTTTTATTGGGCCGTGTTATAAATGCTAATTCTTACAAATGTGACCTTTTTTACAAACAACGTATTCAAGTATTAATAGATCTACAAACGGGAAAGTGTAAATTAAACCTTAATCTATAAATATGGAACTTCAAACGGATTTGTTATGGGCTTTCAGTACTAAAACCTTGAAATAATAAAAATATTTATTGGGGTCTAAAGAATTTCTTAAGAGATCTGTAATCCTTTTGAACTAAACAATGGAAATTTTAAAGAGATTCTTCAAGGACCAAACTGAGCTGTAATTTTGGATTTTATAAATATATATTTTAAGAACTGGCACGACCTTTTTTATAGTGGTTTTTTAAGAACTATCTTAACTTTAGTTTTAGGTTCAACCAGAGATACCAACCTAAATCTTAAAACACATTTTTCCATTATCCAGGAAACTCAGATTTTTATTAAATATTTTTGGATTTTGAGGATTTGAGAAAGAGAATTTTGCAGGACTTACATGGCTTCAAATAAGAATACATAAAGAGTCTTATAATCACTATGCCAACGACCAGAAGAGGTAAACATATTTTCCATTGACTAGCGAAGCTTCATACTCAGATTATTATAAATATCCTGATTTTTTTTTTTTTTTTTTTTTTTTTGATTATTTGTTCAAGGGCTAACAGAATTTAAATTTTTTTCTAGTGCTAAAAATATAGGACGTGCAGCCTTACAAAAGGGTATTTTAAGAAAAATATTTGTCCAGAAATACAAGGGTGGTGGGAATTCTAGAAATATTATTTTAATCGTCGATATTTAAAAAAAAAAATCCTCAATGACCAACATTATAATAATCGTGGATTTTTAAGAATTATTTTGTCAAGAGTTAGAGACTAGCGAAGCTTCAAGCGCAGGTTATTATAAATATTCTGGTTTTTTTAAATATTTGTTCAAGGGCTAACAGAGTTTTCTTGTACTAAAAATGTAGGACTTGCAGCGTTACAAAAGGGCATTTTAAGAAAAATATTTGTCCAGAAATACAAGGGTGGAGGGAATTCTAGAAACATTATTCTAATCGTCGATTCAAAAAAACAATATTTCCTCATGGACTAACATTGTAATAATTGTGGGTTTTTATGAATTATTTTGTCAAGGGCCAACAGAGTAAAAGTTTTGAGTTACTTTGCGATGTAAACTTTAAAAAAGATTTTTCGACATCCGTTAAAAATTCTATTAAAATCTTAAAAATACCGAATGTTGTTATTATGTGAGGGTCTATACGACGACATTGACCTGCATAGATAACTTTTGTCATAATCCATTACAATATTCGAATGCGAAACTTAAAAAAAATCGGTGAATATTATAGCTAATGTCATTAAAATACCGAATATCGGAAGATACCGTTATATGGGGGTTATACGAAGACGTGAACCTGCACAGAAAATCTCCTATCATAGACTGTTGCATCCGTTATGAACATCAAATACCAAGTTTGAAAGAATTCCGTTGAATCATGTCGCTAAAATCAACAAAGTACCGAATATCGGGAGGAACCGTTAAAGTGGGGGCTATACGAAGACGTGAACCAACCTGCACAGACAATTTTCTACATTAGGCTGTAGTATCCATTTCGAACTTTGAATACCAAATTTAAAACGATTCCGATGAATATTGTCGCTAAAATCATCAAAATAACGAATATCGGAAGGTACCGTTATATGGCGGCTGTACCAAAACGTGGACCTACATGATGGCCCATTTTCAATACCAAAAGTCCTGCAGACATAACATACATTTGAGTACAATTTTATCAATCTACTTCAATTCGTTCGGAAGCTAGAATGATTTACACAGACGACATATAATTTTATGCTGATCAAGAATATATATATATACTTTGTGGGGTCTAAAATGTATATTTCGAGGTGTTACAAACGAAATGACAAACTTAATATACCCTCCATACTATAGTGAAGGGTACAATAAGCGTCGATTTTTTTTTTTTTTTTTTTTTGAATTTTTGAATTTTTTTCCAAACTATGGATACTAAGAACATATTTTTTTTTTTTTGCAATAAACTTCAGAAACAAAAAATCCGAGTATATTTTAAAGTTTAGTCGCAGTAATGGTCACTTTGTTGGATCTTTGAAAAAAAAAAGTTTTTACCTTTACTTCTATAAACAATTTTTACAAGTTGTTCGTGATTTTCTTTTTCACATCAAGAATTTTTTATTCTTTTTGTTTGGTGTTTTCAGTATTGTTTTTATATCCCTTTGTTTCCCTGTTTTTTTTTCTGTCAATGTTATGTTTGTTTTTATTACACCGCTTCAACAATTGTAGTTTCCTTCTTTTGTATTGTTGTGGCAACAACAACAACACATACTTACATATAAAAGAAAACACCAAAAACATATGTGTCTTGCCTTTAAACTATGGCAGTACACAACACACACACACATATGTTTTTATAGCATGGCTAGCATCTCTTTCTCTCTCTCACACTCCCCACGCTGGCTGGATACAATTTTTGCCATTTCGTTGATGTAACAAATGAATTTGTTAATATTTTATGAGGATATGCAATAAAAAGCTACATTTGTATTGAGAGTACACTCACTCACCCGCTCGCTGGCTGGTTCGCTCAGTCATTTGCAGTAGGTCCCAACATATAATATGTACAATAATGTATGATGTTGTAGAACATAGTTTATTACAGACAAAACACACACAGATGCACACCAAGGTACAAAAGAAAAAAAAAACGAAACACATTTATTGTATTCTTTTACCTGTTCGATAGTCACACAAGAATTCATTCAGAGATTACATTTTTTTTTTTTTTGCAACAAATATACGGACACAATACATTTGTATGTATTACAACTGCTACAGTCTGTCAGCCTGACTATGTTTTACAGCTCTATTAAAAATGCAACTGCCAAACACCAACCTCCCAGCCTCTTTTTTTGCACCCCCACCCCTCCTCTAGAGCACATTTTCCATGTGTGACTACGAAAACGGCTTTATGCCGGCATGTGCCATTCTTTCGCCCATTTTCCATTTCATTTTTTTTTTGGTTTGTTTCTTGCAAAGGTAAGCTTTGGGACCTGCCACTGAAAAGGATAAACATAATTTCACTACCCTTGTGGCACATTAGTAGTCAATGTCGGTAGGTAGTGTCGGTCACATAATATCGCATTTCTTTTTCCATTTATTTCAATTTTATATACCAAAATACGTAGTATGGTGTATTGTATGTTGAGGGAGTCTGCCCCCCTACCCTCCGCATCCACCACCTCCCCTCTTCCCTTTTGTGGCCTTCGTTCTTTCTGACATAAATATTGTGCAAATAAATGCCCAAAGAAAACGACAACTACCAACCGACAACTCATTTACACTTTATTTAATGCGATAACCCTGAAAATTACTTTGAAAGAAAATTTAAATTGTTTTTGCTTGCCTTGCCTTTTTTTGCAGTGAAAATACAGAGACATTTTGCCGAGAAATGGTCCTTCGTTTCGTTTTTGTTGTTGTATTTTAATAAAACAACACTTTGACCAAACTCTGGGGAAAATAACCCATAAGACAATATAAACGAAAATGAGTTTAACAAATTGAATATTGAAAATTTATAGAATAAATAAATAGGAATTAGTTAGAGTTGATAATAAATGTACTAGATATTTATGGGCTTCAGAGAAAGTCACATCGGGAGGAAACTTAAAATAAAGTTTTTTTTTTTTAATTGGTGTTCCAAAAATGTTTCTTTCGATTTAAAGTTCTTCCTTCGCCATTTAACACTTGGAATTTTTCAACCATTATTCTTAAAATTCTCCACAAATCAACCCATTCCCTGTCTCTTTATAATTTAGAATTTTTATTTATTTGTCTGTTCCTTCTAACATTTGTCTTTTTTTTTTTTTTTTGTCTTCATTTACAGCTATGAATCACCTTGACAAATTACGCTTGTGGGGTAAGGCAGTACGTGTTATGGCCAGCAAACATCAAGCCGTACAACTGCCGAAAGAGGGACAACCTGATGCTGGTCTAACACGTGACTATTCCCAGAATCCATTGCATCGATTCAAGAAACCAGGCAGCAAAAATTATCAAAACATCTATCCGCCATCGGCAACATTGCATTTAAGTAACATTCCGTAAGTAAAACAAAATAAATAAATAAATAAAGAACAAAAATAATATGCAAAAGTTTAAGAGGCAGCTTTGTAACTTTTAAAAATTCAAATATAAACAATTTGAATTATAAATATTATATTGAAAGGATTTTGGAAAATATCCTCTCATCGGGTTGTATGTAAGGAAGCATTCAGACAAAATTGTAGAATTAATAAAATAATTTTTGCAAAAAAAAAAAAAATGCGGATTTTTAGGAATATTAGGTAGAGCATAGAACAGTGTTGGCTTGTTTGTTCGGGATACCATAGTGTTTTGTTGTTGTAAAATGGTCATGCTTAATCCCTTTATTGTTGTTTTTATAAAAACAACGTTTGTTTATTAGTGGAGAACGGTGGTAATGTTTACCAGGGGGAAATACCTAGGTTTCGGAAAGAGCCACCAATCCTTCTCAGTTCCCTTGTTTTTTTTTTTTTTTTTCTGGGATATTCTCCCCAGAAGTTATTTTAAAAATAACTTCTATGACAAAAAAATTAACCCAAGTGACGAGATCGTAAGCTCAATAGAAGAGGAACCAAAGATTTAAATAAAACTAAAATTCTAGAGCTATAAAGGCTGTGTTTTTTTATGAAAATATTTTGAAGGTCTATCTATATTTTTACAAGGTGACCACACACCTTTGCAAATATTGGGATTCAGATTTCTCGAAATCTGTTCATTTTAGGTACATAGGCAATATTGTAGATAAAAATACGAGTCAACAAAGGGCGTCTTTTTGGTCATTTCTATACCCTCCACCTTGAAAGAAGTGTATATTAAATTTGTCTTCCATCCATAAATATTCGTCGTAGACCCCATAAAGTATACAGGGTGAGGTAAAAAACTGCAACAAATTCAAACGTCATAATTTTTACATTTTTTTTTTTTAATTTTATTGAATTAAAGCAAAGAATCTCAGATATAGCATCAAATTTTAGAACAAGTTTATATTTCTTCGAATTGGTCACCTTTGGCACGAATTATGACCTTCAAGCGGCCAATGAAACCGTCACACCCTACCCGAATGTTGCTCTGCGGTACTTTAGCCCATTCCCAGCGAAGCGCTTGCTTGAGGTGATCGACACTTCTGTATTTTTTAGTGCCAACCTTGCTTTCCAAAATACTCTAGGCACAATAGTCCAGCAGATTGGTATCCGGCCAGATTTTGGTGGCCATTGTGGGCTGGAAATCAAGCGAAGAACTTCATTTTGTAACCATTCTTGGGTGGATGGTGTTGGAATGTACGAACTCTGTGGTCTGATGCCACCATCGGCTGTTATGGCGGCCCACACCATCACCATGGCCGACGCTTGGGTTCTGGTGGCCAACCGAAGGTGAACATTTTCATTTGTTTACAAACTGCTGGACAACGAATGTTTTCTCATCGGAGAAAACCAAATTCGGCAGTTCGCCACTTTCGGCCAAGCGAAGCAACTCTTTAACTCTTTTGAGTCTATTTTCTTTCTGTTGCGGTGTAAGTTCTTGCACTTTTTGGAATTTCTATGAATATTGGAATACTGCGATATGTGCAGCTCACGACCCATTTGTCAGCCAACGGGTTTTGATCAAGTTGCTACTTTACTTTTCGAACCATTTCTGCTGATGTTGCTGTTTTCCGTCCACTTCCTTGGCGTTGGGATACGCTACCAGTATCACGGTAACGAGCGATGGTACGAGACACAAAAAATTTATTTAAATTTAAATGCTGGAGTGCTCTTACTATAGCCACTTGTGGTTTTCCAGCCAAAAATAAAGAAATCACACATTCCATCACGAATACCTTTTTTCTGGAAAACTCTCACCAAAATGCTTTTGTACGCTTGTAATCGTTATATAGAACTGTCACTGGAATAATTTTAACAGCTGTCGGACGAGTGGTTTAGAAATGACAGCAGTCTGCATTTGGTTGCAGTTTTTTCTCTCACTCTGTATCAACAGTAACTTCAAAATGGCCAATGTTTTACACAGAGAACGACGAAATTTTGAAATATCATCTAAAAAAACGGGAAAAATACAATTGACAGAGAAAAGAGGTCACAGACCAGTTTTGCAAACAAACTGCAATTTTTTATGTAGCCCCATCTTGTGGTGGAGGTCAAAAATGCTTCTTCTTTGTTTTCTGATATTTTATTTTTAGTTTATTTGGCATATCTTCTCATTCTAGAGAATATATAAAAATTATACTAGAAGTTATCTAAAATTTGATACCAATTTTACTTAAATATTTGTTTTCTTTTCCATCTTCCAGATCATCCTGCACCGAGGAAGATATAAAAGAAGCCTTCACCTCCAACAAATTTGAAGTTAAGGCATTTAAATTTTTCCCGTAAGTATTAATTTCAAATATAGCATTTGTTGCAAATTTTACTAAATAATTTTCTCTTTTTTTGTTCTCTTTTCAAAAACTTCCAGTAGGGATCGCAAAATGGCCTTGTTACAGCTCTCCACTGTCGAAGAAGCCGTCTTGGCTTTAATCAAAATGCACAATCATCAGTTATCTGAATCGAATCATTTACGTGTCAGTTTCTCTAAATCAAATATCTGAAGCAACAACTATAACACTACCAGCAACAACAACAACAACCTGTTCAATAAACCTGCATGAATCTGAGAGATTTATTAATTAACGCAAAAAAGCAAAATGAAACCCATAACATTTAAAAAACAAAAAAATCTACATAATATATATTAAAAACAAAAAACAATTTAAACTATAATAAAAACCCCTAAAAAAGGAAAACAACCAGAACAAGAACATAGGCAGCAAGCTAAGCAAAGTATATAATACTGCTACAAAAAAAAACAAAAACCAACAAACAATATAAAAATTATAAAACTGGAAACAAATCATTTAAATTTAACAAAACAAATATAAGGAAAACTGATTAGTATAGAGAAAAAGAAAAGAACAAATTTTTAAAGAAAACAAAGCTAAAGGAGCAGCCGTAGCAGAAGATGAAGAAGTTAATTGTAGGAGTAAATAAATTTGTTAACAATCAAAGGCGAACATGTAATGCGAACAAATGCCACCACATTATTCACACAGATTAACAGAGAACAAACTGAAACAAACAAACAAACAAACATACCATCGGAAAATGCAAAGCAAATTTTCTATTTTGCTTCTCTTCAAAGGCTTTCTCACAACTCCTCGCAAAATAGAAGAAAGAAAGCAGCCAAGCCAAGAAACTAAACAACCAACCAATCTAGCAACATCATCACCACCACCAACAGCAACAATATTGGAATCCAACAATCAAATCAAATTAAAACAGCAGCAGTAGTATTTGTTTATAAGTATTTTATTCTATAGGTCACCCAAATGTTCTTTATATAACAAATTAGTTATAAACAAATTCTACTGTATAAATTTTAATTATTATTATTATAATTATTATTAAATTGTGTAAAAGTATTAAGCAAGTTGTCGTTGGATAGAAGAAGTTACAAAACTACATACTAAATTGTTTCCTCTCTTTTATTTCTATTCTCATACTACTATTACTACTACCTACTACTTACATATTTTTATATATTTACATATAGAAACAACAACAACAACAAAAATAAATCAACAAAAAAGCCTATAATATTTTATATATAATTTTTTATGAAAACACAACAACAACAATGTGAAATTATTTTTTATTATTAATTTGTAATTCTCGTTTTATTTTTTTTAAATATCATTATTTTTTAAACATATTATAATTCAATTTACTGGATGTGAACTTAAGTTTAGGATATGAATAAAAAAAATAAAATAAAACAAAAACAATTTATTACAAATAAAAAAAAAACAAACAAAAATCAAATATACCCCAATTTAATAAAACAAAAGCACTTTATGGCTAGAATATTATTCGATAATACTACCAGCAGCAAACAACAACCACAAGAAGATGAACACTACTGCAATAGCAATAAACCAACAAACAGTTTTATGTGGCCGATAGAATGATAGAGAGAAAAAAAGGCATTGAACTACAGGCTAGAAAAAAGAAAATTGGTCCATCTATTTGTAGAGTGAGGTTATGGTAGAGTTTCTTTCATGTCGGTTTTCCTAAAATGTGATTTTGTTAAACGTTTCAAAATCTAGAAATATTTTAATCTGCTGCTTTAAATGCATATTCCTCAACTAAAATTGTGTATCTCTTCTGAAAATATTCTTTTGATCTGTAATCTGTCCTTCAAGTTAGAATGTCCTCCAAAGAAGGCGCTAATTCTCAGAAGCTAAAATAAAGTAATTGTAATGTAACCAATCCTTTTGTAGAGTGTATTTGTCATAGATTTTTTTTTCGTTAATGTTTTTATAAATTGTGTTTTGTGTCACTTCTCAGAATCTAATAATATATTTATGTATTGCTTTAAATTGTTGTGCCGCCATTAACATTGACATCTGACCATTTTAAAAAGTATTTTTTTCACTTTTAACTTGTAATCTGCCCTTTATGTTAATAGACATTCTATTAATTTCAAGCAATATTTTCATTGGGATAAAGGCAAATTGTTTTCTGTCCTCTAACTCGATAGTTATTGAAAGAAGGGTCTAATGCTAGTGTTGTTTCAATCAACGTTTTCATGTAGCTTAAATTCAAATTCACAAATTTACCTTGATAAGAAAATTGTGCGATATTGAATGCCGAAATTATTTTTTTCGGAAAGGCTGATAACTTAAAACACAATCGTCGTGTTAGTTGCAGAGCATTGCTAACTTTCTACTGATCCTCAGTATCTTAACTATCATTCAGTTAATATTTTAAATAAAAACTCGAACAAGATTTTTTTCGAAATCAAATGGTTCAAAGTATGTCAAATTGCATATGAACCTTTCATATTCTTAGATTATGTTCCAATAATGGTTTACAAAAGTAGTGATGCAGTGAACATGTTAAGATTTTTTTTTTTCATTTATTGCCTCCCAGAATTTTTGATTACATTACTGCTTTTTGTTTAAAACTGACACGCAAAATCTTAGTCTCAACTCTATTTTTAAAAGGGTAATATTGAAACCCTTGTTGTGTGCCAAATATTATCAATAATTGCAGCAACTTGTTCTTAATTGAAAAATATAATTAAAAAATGTTCTGTATTAAAAGTTCCATAACATTAAATCATGAGAGCCTGTTTCTGTATGACGATATTAAAGTGAATGCAAAAGAAAAACACAATTTCAATTTTCATTGTTTTTAGTTAAATTTAAAATTTGAAAAACCTACAAAAACGGGCCCAATGACCTATTAATTGATTATTTTGAGTAGGATGGGACCCAATTACCGTATTCATAAACATTGCCATGAAAGTCATAGTCTATTGTTACCCAGATTCGAAGGTCGCAACTCAGATAGTTAAAGATCAAAATTAGGATTACAAAGTGTTAAAAAAGAAAAAATGTGGGTGAAACATTTCCTTTTAGCTTTTGGAACAAATTTATTTCAAAAAATATTTCTCTGGTTTGTCTGCATAAGAAGGAGTATCGGATGCTATCATGCGTAGGATCTTTAAATACTCTTTCCTTTGATCTAAAATTGATTTTGATATGGGACTGCTTGACTTGTTTTTGTAGGATTGGAATGTTGAAAATGAGTCTTATATAGCCTGAATGAAATAGTTGCAAGCTATAAACGGTTTAGTTTCACATTATATCATAACAATGGTAACTTGCCAAGTAACGTTCCCCCACATAAACCCATATTTGAAGATTTTTTGGTATGAAATAAAGCCCGATTCGATTTGTGGAATCTGAATTCAAATGTGAGATTTAGAAAAGTGAAATTGGTTTCCATTACTCCTTTTCTTTAAATTTTTGAATAAAGGGTAGGTCATTTGTTCCCTACCTCCGCATTACCCTAGACTCAATAGTAAAATATATATATATATATATATATATATATATATATATATATATATATATAATATATTTTTTTTTTTTTGCTTGTTGGCGGGAAGAATAAAAAGTCGACTCGGAAATTCGATTTGTGGAATCTGAATTCAAATGTGAGATTTAGAAAAGTGAAATTGGTTACCATGACTCCTTTTCTTTAAATTTTTGAATAAAGCGTAGGTCATTTGTTCCCCCCTCCGCAATACCCTAGACTCATTTGTAACATATAAATAATGTTGAGACTTGATACGTTTTTTTTGTTGTTGGCGGGAAGAATAAAAAGTCGAATCGCAATGTTTTAATTAGAGATCCTATAAAATGTCGTTCAAATTTACTTTAAGCATTAAAAAAACGCGATATTTTTTTTCGAATCATTAAAGCCGTTTCGATTCGATTTATAGTCCTTGATGATAAAAAAATGCTCTTATGAAAATATATTTTTTAAATACATTGACAGAAGGATAAAGAAACGTGCATTTGGGAAATTCTTTGTTAAACGAGCAAAATGGTTAAAGGAAGAAATAATGTTCGGATACGAATTTTTTTATTGTTGGCGGGAAGAATAAAAAGTCGAATCGCAATATTTTTCAATTAGAGATCCTATAACCTGCTTTTTTTTTAAATTTACCATAAATATTTATGTAAAACGTGATATTCTTATTCCGAATCATTAAAGCCGATTTGATTCGATTAATAGTCCTTGATGATGAACAAATGCTCTCATGAAATTAGAAATGAAAGAAAGAAACATGAATTTGGGAAATTCTCTGTTAAAGGGACAAATTTAATATATATTACATAGGTAGTTAAAAAAAATAGGTTTTGCAAGCGAAAGCGTCTATGCAGTACCATGAAAAATGGTCTAATCCTTACCAATTGGCATAATTTGACCCAAAATGTTTAAAATCAAAATGAGAAAGATAAAAGATTTTCTTGAAACATTGCACTCCCAATATCTTTGAGTTTTTTACTGACTTTTTTGACTTGAGACAGGAATTCATAAAGATATTGCTAACGGCAACCATCGATTTATTTTCGATCTCGATTAAATTTAAAGCAAATTTGGTCCACATTAAATTTGAAAAGTCTAAAAGAATTAAAACTTAAAAGGCAATTTTGAGTTAATAATTTTTGCTGTGTTAAAAATCTGCAATATTCTTAAAAAAATTCATGAACATCCCAGCTACCATATCACATCTCTGAAAACATACATGGAAAGGCATTTCAATTCTACAGAAATGAGTTTTTTGGCTTGTAGTACAATGTTATTAAGATCTCTACAAAATAACAAAAAATAAAACATTTCATAACCCCACCACCCAACACCTCTTTGAAAATGAATATAATGATAGTACCAGAATATTTTTTTTCTTTTATAGTAGCTGGAAAATGAACAAAAAAAAACTGAACTTTAATACATAATTAAGCTATTGAACAAAACATAAACATATTTCTAAAACAAAACTATACATAACCATACATATATAATTGTGTAGTATATATATGAAACCAACAAAACAAAAACATATATTCACGCATAATAAAACAACTACATACGTTTACTACAAAACAAACCAACAAAAAAAATGAATAATATGGAAATAAGGAAGAACCTACCTAAATATATACATACATATATATATGAGAATATCAACTGTGTTTCGTTTTAAACAAAACCACAACCCCACACAAAACTGAGAAGAACAGAAAAAAATGAAATGAACAAATTTTTTTGTGTATTTGCTGATATAGTGTTATTATTATATTATTATTAATATTATTATAAATATATTTTTAAACAAATACAAAAAAATGGGAATCTTAAAACATATATATACATACCTAAGGATAAGTGAGAAAACAAAACAAAAAACAACTTAGTTTTTATGGCAAAAAACAAACAATTTATTAGAAAATTAAGAACA